GCCAGGCCGTTGCTCCGCAACAGTTGGACGATGGAGTCCACTTTACTGTTGATGGGGGCAGTGGAGCTCATGCAAGCTTCCACTTCTTGGACAATCTTGTCTGGCACTCCAGCCATGGCGAACGGTGGTGGCAAAGGTCGCAGGAGACAGCTGGTGGGCACTGTGGGGCCCAAGGCTATATATAGAACACATGCATGGTCTTTAGAACAGCAATTCGGACTCAACAAAACACGGGCAGCAACAAAGAGTCGCGATCCCTCAACTTCTTTTGTTCACACCCCCGCGGTGGCAGCTGCAGTTCTCTGGTGGCTACTTGCTGGCCTTGGCCTTGGCCCTCTTCTTGGGCCTTTCTGTCTGCCGCCAGCTTTCCAGCTCCTCGATATTGGCACGAACATGGTCTATGATCGTGGTGAGAAGGTTGGCATCCAGCTTCACCATGAAGTCCGAAGCCTTGGGTCGTTTCAAGTCTCCCTGGACGAGAATTGGCACCACTGTGTTGCCAATGTGGATATTCACGAAGTCTGGCAGGTTCCGGATCTTCTTGCGGGAAGTGGTTCTGCGAATTGGTTTGGAGTCGAAGAGCTGGTCGCCTTCGTCTTCCTCCTGGTCCCCCATGGCACATCGATCCATTTGCTCGTTGCGAAGCTGGATGAGCTTCGTGAATGGTTCGTAGTATGTGAGGGAACACTTGTGTGGATGCTTGGACCCCGTGAGCAGCTGGACGATGGGGAGGCTGGAGGGTCGCATTCTCAAATATTTGTGGTCGTCTGGGCCATCCACCAGCAGATACTCTGGGATGCTAACTGCTGGCTCTTGGTTGTACTTCAAGAGCACCTGCTGGCCAATCGTCACCATGGCTGAAGCAGAGTGGTGTGCACTGGATCGCTGGGGGAGCTTGGGCAACCTCGTTGAAACATAAACATCCAACAACATGTCTATCTTGGCCTTGCTAGCAAACATGCTTTCTTGTTCAGAAACTTACTGGCTTCACTGGGGTTTCGGCAGCCCTCGAAACTTAGAATGGCCAAAGCGGCATTGCCATTTGAAAAAAACATGGCTAGATTCCATGTGAATTTTTT